TACTTTTAACCTCTATAATGCACCAAGGATTTTCAATTTTACATCGGAAACCACCCCCAAAGTTTGGGAACCAATTTCCTGTTTGCGGGCCAGATAAAGTTTTTCCATTGATTGCCATTTCGGTGACCTCTGTGTTACGATATTACACAAAGGTCAATTTTATGCGTGTCATTATATACTACAGTCGATTCTCAAGTATTTTAACTGTAATTAAAAAAAAAAAAACTTTTGTAATATCTAGCGCCGCGGCTGTATTTATACATAAATATTCGTTGAACATCATATAATTCGAATTCTGTYCGTTCCCCAAAACTTGGAATCACTGCGCAAATCAACAGCGTATGCGGGTAGGTTCCTATACTCTTTTACTCTTATAGATGATAGACCTCTGCAGGAGCTATTTTTCATAATGATTATTATTAAGTCGGATATTAAAATTCTATACTCGCCGCACACGCCCRCGGTCGCATTGCACGCCAAACATAACATAGTCGGCGGGAGGTGAAGGAAGAAGAGGAGGAAGTTGAGGAGGAACGGCGTATATAATACGCGGTGCAGCAGTATATATAGGTATAATATTATTATGTCGGTGTTTAGGAAGTAGCTGCAGCGTGACGGTGGAAGGAGTGAGATCTGGGTGGGCAGCGTCTGGGGAGGTGGCACCACTGCGGAAAGAGCGAGGCGGAAGTACACGATGACCACGGGGCGAAGACGTCGCGGCACGCTAGATGGACGCGGGGGAGGGGTGGTGGTGAAGACGACACGGCGGCGCGCGCGAAGTAGGAGACGAAACCGGTCTGGTTCGGTTCTGGTTCCGTCTCGGACAGTCACACGTGCCCGGCGCGCTCAGTCCCATTATTACCGGCGATCCCGTCGTGGCCACAACGTACATCTACTGCCAACGACGACGACGCGATAGAACATCGTCGGACCCGTGAAGGTTTATCATTTTTAAAAACACAATTTTTTTCGTTTGGATTCGTTGTGATTACAGCAGTTACTAACAGCACACGCAATRATTATTATTTATCATGTATCCCGTGTTTGAGAGCCGCCACCACTGAGATCGAGAAATACCTTACCTAGTATACCTAACTATATATTTTATCATTTCATTCAAAAATAACTTGTCGACCGCCGCCAGTTTTCCCGATCAGCAGCATATATTGTATACTGACCTGTGTACACACGCGCGTTGTTGCCGTTCACCCGASCTATACAATATACAAATCGTTACTTCGCTGTTTATTGATATTGTTTTTGTATCGTCATCGTCGATATTAATTATAAATTATTCTGTTTCGTGACGTGCGATGGTCCGGTCGCGCGATCCACCGGCAATCGATTGCAGGTGACGACGACGACGACGACGGACGACTGTCTGCACACGATACTCGAACGTCGCTCGTCCAACGATGACGGCCGATGACGGACGTCGGACATGAACACTGGACCCGGTCAGGGCGCACATGGGCCATCGTCTCTGCCAAACTGGTGGCCCGCCGACCCTCGTCACACCACTTCATCGACCTCGGATGTCGTAAGTACACGTATAATCATCGTATGTACTCGATAACTGCTCGGTGAGCTGCGTAGTTATTTTAACGTCATTTTAAGGCGTCGCCGTCGTATAGGTGGTAGTTTTCTGACTTCTACGGTCCGGATTCGGACGGGGATCATCGGTCTTATACCTAGTTTGTGTCAATGTGTCATAAGTCATTAGTCTAGGGTTAGGATTTCAATGCCCTAAGAAATCTCGAAAAATTCCCAT